CACACAATTATAGTGGGAGACTTTAACAGCCCATTCTTACCACTAGACAGGACCATCCACCAGACAGAAACTTAACAAAGAAACAAAGGAACTAACAGAAGTTATGATCCAATTGGGTATAACAGACATCTATAGAACATTCCATCCAAATACAAAAGAATATGCCTTCTTCCCAGTGCCATATGGGACCTTCTTTAAAATCGACCACATAGTTGGCAACACAGCAAACCTCAACAGGTACAAAAAAAGTGGAATAAACCCTTGTATCATTAAAGTTAGAATTCACCAACAACACAAATTGCAGAAACCATACAAACTGATGGAAAACTGCACTATTCCTGGGTCAAGGAAGAAATAAAGAAATTTAAGACTTCCCAGAATTCAATGAAAATGAAGACACAACATACTGAAACTTATGGGACACTTTGAAATCAGTGCTAAGAGAAAAGTTCAAAGCACTAAGCGCAGATATTAAGAAACTGGAGAACAGTCACTAGAGAATTAACAGCACAACTGAAAGCTCTAGAACACAAAGAAGCAAATTAAATTGAGGGCTGAAATCAATCAAGCAGAAACAAAGAAAACACTACAAAGACTCAATGTCACAAAGAGTTGGTTTTTTGAGAAAATAAAAAAGAGAGGCAAACCTTTACCCAAACTAGCCAAAAGGCAGAGAGAGAACATGCAAATGAACAAAATCAGGAATGGAAACGGGGACATAATAATGGACACTGAGGAAATCCAGAGAATCTTCAGGTTATACTTTAAAAACCTCTCCTGCACAAAATTCGAAAATTTAAAGGAAATGAAAAATTTTCTGGATGTATATCACTTACCAAAAGTAAATCAAGAACAGATAAGCAATTTAAACAGGCCTGTAACCACTAATGAAATAGAAGCAGTCATCAAAAGTCTCCCAACCAAAAAACCCAGGCCCAGATGGCTTCAGTACAGAATTTTACCAGAAATTCAAAGAAGAAATAATTCCAATACAACTCACAGTGTTTCACACAATAGAAGCATAAGATTTGTTGCCAAATTCTTTTTATGAGGCTACAACTACCTTGTACCCAAGCCACACAAAGACACAACTAAGAAAGAGAACTACAGACCAATATCCCTCATGAACATTGATGCAAAAATTAAAATACTGGCAAATCATAAACCATGATAAGTAAGCTTCATCGCAGAGATTCAGGGATAGTTCAACATATGAAAATCCATCATTGTAATCCACCATATAAACAAACTGCAAAAGAAAAACCACATGATCATCTCACGTGATGCTGAAAAAGCCTTTGACAAAATCCAACACCCCTTCATGATAAAGGTCATATAGAGATCAGGAATAACAGGAACATACTTAAACATAATAAGATCAGTATACAGTAAACCAATGGCCAACATCAAACTAAATGGAGAGAAACTTAACACAATTCCTCTAAAATCACGAACAAGATAAGGCTGTCCACTCGCTCCACATCTCTTCAATACTGTACTTGAAGTTCTAGCTGGAATAATATGACAACAAAAGGAGATGAAGGGGATACAAATTGGAAAGGAAGAAGTCAAACTTTCACTATTTGCTGATGATATGCTAGTTTACATTAGTGACCCGAAAAATTCTACCAGAGGACTACAGCTGATCAATACCTTCAGAAAAGTGGCAGGATACATGATTAACTCAAAAAAAATCAGTAGCCCTATTATATACAGACGATAAAGGGGATGAGAAAGAAATCAGGGAAACATCATCCTTTACCATAGCCACAAACAACATAAAATAACTTGGGGTAATGCTAATCAAACAAGTGAAAGACCTGTATAGCAAGAACTTTGAGCCTTTAAAGAAAAAAATTAAAGAAGATACCAGAAAATGGAAAGATCTCCCATGCTCTTGGATAGGTAGAATCAACATAGTAAAACTGTCAACCTTGCCAAAAGCAATCTACAGATTCAATGCAATCATCATCAAAATACTGGCACAATTCTTCACAAACTTGAAAGAACAATAATCTACTTTATATGGAAAAAGAAAAGACCATGATGGCCAAAACAACTCTGTACAAAAAAGGAACTTCCAGATGTATCACCAACCCTGACTTCAAGCTCTATTATAGTGCTATAGTCATAAAAACAGCTTGCTATTGGCACAAAATAGACAGGTAGACCAATGGAATCAAATTGAAAACCCTGATATTAACCCACACACCTACGAATGAATACTTGATTTTTGACAAAGAAGCTAAAATTATTCAATCGGAAACAGAAAGCATCTTCAACAAATGGTGCTGGCATAACTGGATATTGTCATGAAGAGTGCAGACATATGTATGTCTATTGCCATGTACAAAACTTAAGTCCAAATGGATCAAAGACCTCAACATAAATCCAGCCGCACTGAACTTCTTAGAAGAGAAAGTGAGACGTAACCTTGAACCAGTTGGTACAGGAGACAGCTTCCTGAACATAACAGCAGTACCACAGACACTGAACATCAGTACCACAGACACTGAGATCAATTAATAAATGGGACCTCCTGAAACTGAGAAGCTTCTGTAAGGCAAGGACACAGTCAACAAGACAAAAAGGCAATCCACAGAATGGGAAAAGATATTCACTAACCCCACATCTGACAGAGGGCTGATCTCCAAAATTAACAAGAACCCAAGAAGCAAGTCTCCAAAACATCAAAGGCTCCAATTAAAAAGTGGGGAATAAAACTAAATAGAGAATTCTCAACAGAGGAGTCTAAAATGGCTGAGACACTTAAGAAAGTGCTCAGCATCCTTAGCCATTAGGGAAATATAAATTAAAACAACTCTGAGATACTACCTTATTCCTGTCAGAATGGCTAAAATAAAAAACATCAAGGACATTTTATGCTGGAGAAGATGTGGAGAAAGGGGAATACTCCTCCACTGCTGGTGGGAGTGCCAACTCGTATAGCCACTTTGGAAATCAGTATGGAGATTCCTCCGGAAAATGGGCATCAGTCTACCACAAGACCCAGCCATTCCACTCTTAGGCATATACCTAAAAGAGGCGCATTCATACAACAAGGATGTCTGTTCCACTATGTTCATAGCAGCATTATTTGTAATAGCCAGAACCTAGAAGCAACCTAGATACCCCTCAACTGAAGAGTGGATAGAGAAAATGTGGTACATTTACACAATGGAGTACTATTCAGTGGAAGAAAACAATGGAATCTTGAAATTTGCGGGCAAATGGATGGCACTAAGAGAAACCATCCTGAATGAGGTAACTCAGTCACAAAAAGACAAACATGGCACATACTCACTTATACATGGATTTTACACATGAAGCAGGGGAATGCCAGCATACAATCCCACTACCAGAGAGTCTGGGAAACAGGGAGGACCCTAACAGAGATATGCATGGTATCCCAGAGAAGGGGAATAGGACAAGATCTCCTGAGTGGACTGGGAACATGGGGCGAGGGGACAGGGAGCTGGGAAAAGAGAGAGGGTCAAGAGATGGGGAGAGGAGGACATGGGGGAATAGAAAGGTTGAGTCGAGGGAAGAATAGAGGAGAGCAGGATGAGAGATACCATAATAGAGGGAGTCATTATAGGCTTGAGGAGAGCTCTGGCACTAATGAGATTTCCAGAGATTTACAAGGATGACATCAACTGGCCATCTAAGCAATAGTGGAGAGGTTACCTTAAATGCCCTCCCCTGATAATGAGATTGAGGACTACCTTGTATGCCTTCCTAGAGCCTTCATCCAGTGACTGATGGAAGCAGAGGCAGACACCCACAGCTAAAGACTGAACTCCTGGAATCCAGTGACAGAAAGGGAGGACTTATAAGCAAAGGGGTCAAGACTGGGCTGGTTTAATCCACAGCTGACCTGAACAAGGGGAGCTCATGGACCCCAGACTGATGGCTGAGTGGCCAGCATGGGACTGATCCAGAACCCCTGAACATGAACATGTGTGTCAGTGAGGAGGCCTTGGCAATCTTTGGGGACTCGGGTAGTAGATCAGTATTTATACCTGGCCTCCAAATGGACTTTGGGAGCCCATTCCATATGGAAGGATGCTCTCTCAGCCTGGACATATGGGGGAGGGCCTAGGCCCTGCCCTGAATGATATGACAGACTCTGGAGATCCCTCCTGGAGGGCCTCAGGTGAGTGGAGATTGGGTGGGGAGTTGGGGGAATGGTAGGGGGCGGGGGGAGGAGAGAAGGGAGAGGGAGCTGGGTTTGATGTGTGAAGCAAGCTTGTTTCTCATTTACATAATAATAATGAAAAAAAGGAAGTCTTCTCCCAGCATGAGCCCTGATTTAATCCCAGGTGGTCATCCTGAAACACACATGTGTAAACATGTAAACAGACCAGGATTCAGCATGTAGTATTTAGAAATACGTGCATGCATACGTGCACACACACACACACACACACACACACTAGACAATAACAAAGGAAAGTAGGGAATGGCGTTGGATGAGGGGCACAGTAGGAAATGAAGTGGTGAGTATGTGGGACTGAAATGGTATAAATTCAGTACTCAATGAAATTCTCAAAAACTAACAACGGAAGTGCTTAATGGCTGGAGAGATGGCTCAGTGGTTAAGAGTACTGGCTGCCCTTCCAGAGGACCCACGTTCAATTCCCAGCATCTACATGGTACTCACAACTGTAACTCCACTCCAGGGGATCTGACACCTTCACCCCAATTCACATACAATAAAAGTAAATAAATTATACAAATAAATGCATTACATACAAATAAATGTAATACAATTTCAACTATATAGCAAATTCTTAGATACAAAGAAGATCGAAGCTCTCTGCACAGAAGCATTAAGGAAAAAAATTCTATTCCTTTTTATATTGTCTTTATAGGTACACATTTGTGTATTTTTCAAAGAAAACTTCATAGGAATACACATTAGAGAATAGACTTCTTAAAGGAAACAAAACTGATTTTTAGAATTAGTTATTAAAATGAAACCATAACAAAGTACTTACCATCACAGGACAGGGAGATATAACTTCCTAAGTCATCAGACATGTGTCGGATCACATTTCTACCCATCTGGATACCAAGGAAGACCCAATAATCTATTGCTGCTCCAAGAATCCCAGTCAGCAAGTAAGATAATTCATGTTTGAAGACCTAGAATTATGATGTAAAGTATTATCAAACATTAAAAATGCCAACTTTTCTCATATTTTCTTTACTATATCTTGAGAGATAAATGACTAAAATATAGGGTATGCTCAGAATAAAAGACTGCAAACTGTCTCTCTCCATCTGTTTTATGCCACTCTCTCTTACTACCACATCACCATTTTGAAATCTGTCACCTGAAATGACTAAGGCTCTTAGTGTTTTAGGTTTTTTTTGAGTGTGGAATTATCTTCAAATATAAAATGATACTGACAATGGTATGCAAATCCAAATATAGAACTCACTTGTTCATAAATACAGGATGTACATATCCTGGAAGTAATTTCACAGTACTTTTAATGTAGTAACATTTTGTTTAAGACCTGTTATATAAGGTCAGGCATATAATGTGGAATCATAGTGGCCAAAATTTTGGATTTGGGGGCATTTAGGATTCTGGATTAAGGATGTTCAATCTAGGTTTTAGCAACAACCTATACCAAGACAAATTTTGACCTGAATGAAGCTCTCAGGTCTTTTAGCCAAGCACTATTTCTATTCAAAACCATGAGGAATTTCCAGGCTTCTGTGGAAATTACTTAATGGGAATATATATCGTATATAAAAGACAGATTTGCTGTTTTTACAAATCAAACACAGACTATGTGCACTTGTAAAATCTTTAATTGCTATTGCTGTGTGCATACTGTGTGTCCATATGGTGATGTGCACGCTTCATGGTGCACATACGGAAGTCAGCGGACAACTTTTTGTAGTCCGTTTTCTCCTTCCACCATGGATTCCAGGGACTGAACTCAGATATCAGATGTGTGGCAAGTACCTTTACCCACTGAGCCATCATTCGAGCTGTGTTCATTTCAAGCAGCAGTGTCAAAGGACTTGAGAAATTCAACAGGTAAAATCATCAACAAATCTCTTAAAGAAATAGACTAATCCAAGTTCTATTTAATTGTAACAAAATGAACAAAATTAGAGATAAAGAGATCAATTTTGAAAGTATACTTCATATCTCACTTTTATACTAAATACTACATTCGTATAAGAACTATGTCAAGGCATTTAAATCCTTGTATGTTTAACCCAATGTTTTCTTTTTTTAAACACATTTTAAACACATTAATCTGGAAAAGTCAATATGTACTATGAAGATAAAGATGTGAGAAAATAGTATTTTAAGAACACTTTAATATAGATACTTTTCCAAAATGACATTAAAACTAGTTGCAATATCTATATTCTTGTTGTTTGTTTCCTATCTATGTTGCATGTGTGAAAATCTCACTAAGTAACAGTTGGATTAAGCATATAAACATGTTTTCTTGAACCAGTGTTATATCTGAATATATTGAACTGCTGTGTTGGTCATCATATTATGACTAATGAGAGAAATGTCTAGGCATTTTGAACCCTCAGAATAGTAGGCTTATTTTTCAGGTCCTTGAAAACAAATTTCTTTTAAGTATGTATATTTTAATAGGAAAGCATTAACCTAGCCACAAAACCTTTGATCTGCCTGCAAGGGAAAATGGTGGTGCAGAATTTCTGGGAGTGGCCAACCAATGACTGATTTTGATTGAAGCCCACTTCCCCAATAGGGAGCCTTAACTCACACGGCTTGCGTGGCCAAGAACCAGAGACTGGCCAGCCCAGAGACCTAGGGTAAAACCAACATGACTGGTCTAAAAAAAAATGAAAAATAAAAGTGACTCCTAAGGATATTCTGTCATACTGAGATCAATGTTTTGCCCAGTCCTCAAAAGGCTTCCTTGCACAGTAGATGGGAGTGGATGCAGAGGCCCACACGTAGACATCATGTGGAAAGAGTCTACACTGGAGGGCTCCACTTCTCAGAGCCCAGACACCAGGAGGAGCTCACAGAACTCAGAGACTACAGTGGCAAGCACAGGGCCTCCCCGGGTCTCCAGCCGGTCCTCTGCTGTGGCTGTGAGCTCCGTGTTCTCGTGGGACTCCTACCCGTGAGAGCAGTGGGTCTCTTGATCCTTTTGTCTGCTCTTGGGACTCTTTCCTCCTGTTGGTTGCTTTGTCCGGCCTCAGTGTGAGGGCTTTTGCTATGTCTTACTGTATTTTGTTTTGTCATGTTTGGTTGTTATCTCCCAGAGGCCTGCTCTTTTCTGATGAGAGACAGAGGGGAAAGGAGTCTGGGGTTCTCCGAGAAGAATGGGAAAAGTGCAGGGAGGTGAAACTGTGGTTGGGGATGTATTCTAGAAGAGAAGAATCTATTTCCAATAAAATAAAAGTAGACTGTACCACCAAGGTATAATTACATTTGTGAAATTATACACATGTACTAAAGAAATTAGAACAAGTAGGATTTATGTTTATAAACACCTAAGAGATGACTTTGGACACTGAAGAAATTAATGATATAGAGTAAATCTATCTAAGAAATACATGTTATAGAGTAAAAAAAAAAAAACAAACCACCCAATTGTACAACGGAAGTTCTGTTTCTGGTTTGCTGTGCAAACACACAGAAACAAATGGTCAAGTAGCACATGCCATCTGTGCTATCAAACAATGACACGGATGGAAGTCCCAGAGTCACAAAAAATGCATGACAACACTGTAAGGTGAGCAAATAGCAATAATCAGATCTTAGCAAATATTTAAAAGAAACTGGAGACTACATGGATTTAATTCTTTAAAAAAGAACTGATTTCATGTTTGTTTGCCACCAGAGCACTCTTCCTTAACAAATGACTGTTTACTGCCCCCGAGGAATGTATTGCCTAACTGTTAGTGATGGCATCATAGCTATCAGTTAGGATGGCATATCAATAAGAATAATAGGATGGCATTAAAAAAAATGAAGAAAGCCTACAAAGTAGACTAAGCTTGACTTAGCAGTTGACAGAGAATATCATAAACTATAGCAAAAACACAGTCTTGTAACCTGATTTCCTTCAGGACCAGGATGAAATGCTCAGTAAATTATAGAAAGCAGAAAAACATACTATTTCACTGTAACTTATTATTAAAAACAAAGACTAAAAATAAAAGATACAAACAGAGTAGATAAGAGAATAAAAGAAATAATTAAAATGTGTAGAACTAATGACATAATAAAAGAAAATTAGGCAATAAATACCAAAGGCAGACTATTCTGAAAGGCAAAAAGCAGCTAATATTTAGTACAATGCACTCAAAATATTACCTGCTTTCTTTTTCTTTATACCATCATACACTTTTAATACACAAGACAGTCAGCAATTTTCCTCCTTTACCTACTTTAGGTAACAATATTAATGCCATCACTCCTTGTCAGATTATCTAGACTGAATTCATCTTGATATAATCACACAGCGTACTAAAGGAGGATGTCATTTCATTGGTGACTAAGACTTACAGAAGCATGGTCCCCTGTCCTCAGATCACCAGATTCATCTCTGCCACTCACTATTATGGGTCCATCTGTACATGTCCAACCACTGACAGAGAATATGTAATACTATATTTTAAACATATTTTAACACTTCCTTCTTATGCATGAGACTGAAAACCTTTCTCTATACATTCTAACCAACTCGACACAACAGATGACGTGTGTGTTTCAGAAGTAGAGAGAGAGGGGTAATAGTCCAATAGAGAAAAAACCAGTGTGGGAAAGATGATCAGTGCCTGGGTTTTGACATCTTTACAAAATTGTAACATCTTTACAAGATTGAAAATTTTATTTAGCTTTTGTGGTTTATATTCCTATTCACAATATCAAAAAAACAATAGTTCTACTTTATAGGATATTATAAGGAATAAATATGAGAAACTATATTATAGTGTTTCCAAGAGTAGTAAGAATAGTGTGATAAGAATAAAAATGTCATTTATTTTTAAATTTTCATAGTGTTTAATGAATAGATTCAACATTTAAAGCCCACAAGTTGCCATTCAATAATTGGTTTTCATTTCCCACTTGGTTTATAGTTTTATTCATTAAAAGACCATATTTGTGTTATGAATATAAGCTTTTTTCTGTTTCAATATGTCTTCAAGTTTATTCCTACTTTAAAACTTTACTAAAAGTGGCTGGGCAGTGTGTCATTATCTAGGTGGTGTGCTTTTCTTTAGTATCATTTACTACACCTTTTAATTATATACTCATTTAGATTTGAGAAACAGTTTACTGCTTTATTACACTCAATTTTCCAGGATATTCTGAAAAAATCAATCAGCATCTAATCAATGTGTTAGGAATTTCAATGCAGGTAAAATCTACTCATGAAGAAAGGCTTCAGTAAGTTATCAAATCTACTCATGAAGAAAGGCTTCAGTAAGTTATCAACATCTAGTAAGTTTTAGACACAAGCAAAACTTTTTATTGTTGGACTCTCCAAAACTGTGTAAACTCTTTTTTTTTTTCGAAACAGGGTTTCTCTGTATTGTTTTGGAGGCTGTCCTGGAACTTGTTCTGTAGACCAGGCTGGTCTCAAACTCACAGATATCCACCTGCCTCTGCCTCCCGAGTGCTGGGTTTAAAGGCGTGCACCACCAACGCCCGATGATAAACTCAGTTTTTGAAAACATAATTTCCATAAAAAAAATGGAATGTTTAAAAATAAGACATTTAGAATGAGAACTACAGACTTCATAATTCTTGGATATTATGTCTAAATGAGCGATGAAGAATTTGCCCTCTAAGGAAATGCTGCCACTCAAGTAGACAAACTACATAGCAAACACATAGTAACACAATTGGGTTCAAAATTTTTTCAAGGAGTTCAAACTATAAAAGGAAGAAGAAAAAAATATGCTATTTCAAAAAATAATAATCACACAGTATCTGCTCCCTGGATTGCTTCCAGGACACAGCACAGATTTCAAAATGTACAGATGACAAAATCTATGGATGTTCAATACTCTTACATAAAGTACTCTGAGGCCTGCACATACTTTCGATCCTCCCATATGCTTTGAACCATCTATAGATCACCTAAAACTAATAGTCTAAATGTTATGTACATGATAACACACTGCTGAGGTAATAATGATAAGACATGTTCAGTAGAGGTGAAACTTTTTCTGATTATTTTCTATATGCATTGGGTGAATTCATATTTGTGAAACCTACAGATAAGGAGGGCTAACTTTGCTTTTTCCATAGATCATATTCTTTTGTAAAGTAATCCAACTTACATCATTGGACTTGCATTTTTCCTTGTGAGAATATATAGTCCATTCCAAAAGCATATTTACTGGTTTTGTTAGAAGTCCTGAAGTTTCACTTCCTGACCAAAAAATTTCAAGAACAATTGCCTTTTCTGTTCCTTTCAGACTCTGGGAACCTGACCAGTCACACAACCTAATGAAAATATGAACAAAAAATCAATCACCATGCCAATTAATCATGGCAGTTAGTACACCTATTCTGATAGGACAAGAATGCTGCCAATTTTTGAGAAAGACGATAACATATAAAGATTACAATACAACACAGGTATAATAAAGGACAAAACATTAACAACAGCCTCATGGGCTGGGTATGTCACACTAAGCAGGTGCTGTGGAGGACACTTGGGAGTCCTAACACTGGAAAGGAGAGTCATGCATGCCTTTGGGCTCACTGGTCACTACTTTGTGAGCTACAGGATGAAGAAAGACCCCTGTTTCAAAAAAACAAAATGTGGATAATACTCCTGAGGAATGTCTCTTAGGTGGAAGCTTTGGTATCTATATACATGCTCACATGTCCACTGATGCATATACATGACCGTGCACAGAAAAATGGTCTCGGTTCAGTACAAATCACTATACAGGGCATTTAGGAATACATATATATATTCCTGAAACACATACTCTTCCAAATGAAGAGAGAAAAATATGAACCAAAGAAAAAGAAAAGGGATATAAGCAAACTGTCACTTTCAAAGGGTTGTATCTGAAAACTGACAGAAAGCCTAAACAAAAACACAAATTAGGAGACTTATTCAAAACAGACATATTATAACCATAAGTTTAAACAACAGAACTATAGCAAAGTATTTCTTGTGATTGACACTTACTTTTGAATCAAATGGCGTACTTCACTTTCAAATAAATTAAAGAAAAGCTTGAGCAAAGTAAGATGTACCACCTTTGAACCAATATTTTCTGATATTTGATGACAGAAACCTTCATTGAAAAGGCAAGACCTGAAAAATATGAACCCAACAAGGTATTTCATAAAAATAAAGTTACTGAATAAATTGTGGACAAAATGTTTCTTTTTAAAGACTTTAAAATTTTTTACAAAACCTACAAAAATTTTAAAGCAAGCTCAATAAAATTTTCTTAATTTACTTGAGTTCTTTTTTGCTGTTGTTTTTATTGTTTGTTCGTTTTTCAAGACAGGGTTTCTTTGTTTCACCCTGGCTGTCCTAGAGGAACTCCCTCTGTAGATCAGGCTGGCCTTGAACTCAGAGAACCACTTGCTTCTGCCTCCCAACTGCTGGGATTAAAGGCATGCTACACTATCACTAGCTAAGATTTAGTCCCAACTGCTGGGATTAAAGGCGTGCTACACTATCACTAGCTAAGATTTAGTTCTTAACACAAATCTAGCTTCTTTGGCCTCAATATGATATCTGGCAACCATCAGCACTCTCTTTGTGCACTTCATTTCACTAGGGTCTCGGTTTATAGTATGAACTATAGTATCCTTCACTACCCATGATTACTTTCATTTCCACTATCCGTTATAGTTTTCAAAATTGAATATTTTATTTGTATTTTGTCATGATCACAGAACTTTAAATGATGATTGCCATGCTCTACCACACACCTGCATTTGGCTTGTACATATGAGGAAAGAGTTTGTTAGCACAGTTCTATAGTGGACGGACACACACACACACACACACACGTTAAATGAACAAGTTTGTTCAATTTTTTTAATGAGTAGATGTTTCTGACTGCTTGTGTGCCTGTATACTGTGTGTATCTGATGCCTGAAAAGGTCAGAAGCAGGTAACAGCATTGGATCTACACCCGGAAACTGAGGGGTACAGAGGGTTGTGATTTACAACATGAGTGTTGGGAATGGAACCTGGTTCTCAGCAAGAATAAAGTGTCTGAACCCCATTGTTCTCTCCAGCCATGCAGTGTATTTTTACAGAGAAAGCAAGAGCACTAATAAATTCTAAGCCTTACAGAAACAGAAATTAGGCATTGGTATTCATTATTTAACTCCAAATTTTCTTATCAATAATATCAACAATGTATCTGTTGCTTTTTATTTCTGCCTCCAGTTTCCTTGTCTTTGTATGTTTACGTGCACGTGGAGAACACAGGTTGACGTGAGATATCTTTCTCAATCACTTGCCACCTTAGTCTTGAAATAGGGACTCTTTACCCCCACCAAGACAGGGTTTTCTGTGTGTAGCCCTGGCTGTCCCAAGACTCTCTTTGTAGACCAGGCTGGCCTTGAACTGAGAGGTCCACCTGCCTCAGCTTCCTCAGTACTGGAATTAAAGGCGTGCGGTGGCACCACCACACCTAGCAAAATGGGGACCAATGAACCCCAGAACTCTGTAATGCAGCAAGACTACCTGGTCAGCCAGCCTCAGTGATTCTCCTGCCTCTGTCTCCCCATGCTGGGATGACATGCATACTGTCACTAAATCAGCTTTTTAAAACCAAAGTTCAGGGGACTGAACACAGGTCCTCATGACTGTGTGGCAAGCACTTTCCTGATCCACACTCGTGTGTTTATAAATTACCGTGCATTTTGCAACAAAACCGGGGATCTCGAGAAATTTAACAAAGGTCTAACCTTTGCCTAGCTACTCAAGTGTCTTTTCTCCCACATATGAAGGACATTTGTGCCTACATCAATGAAAAACTATTTCAATAAAGGAAGACTATCAAAGTTTTACTAGAAATCATAAAATAATAATTACTGTAGCTAGATGAGAGAAAACAGGAAGTTCTGGAGACAGAAAACAAAGAGAGCCTAGTCAGATAACATATGTAGATTAATGACATATCTAGGAAACAGTAAGTACTGGTTAAAAATTCAAATTTCTAATTATTATAATATATTGACAAACATCATTTTTTAATAACAAATCTGATGTTTATATTCAATAACTTTTCTTTCAAAAAAACACAAATTCATAATTTTGGAAAATTTAAAATTTGGTATTATTGTTTTGTATACTTAATTTTTAAAATACAGACAAACATGATCAATATAAAATTTGTTCTTTTATAAATTTTGCAAAAAAATACAAAACACAAGTACTCATATTGTTTCTAAAAGTACAAATACACTTTTTAAGATTAGCGCTTGCAAACAGTAACACACCCTCCAATGTGAAATAGCTTACCTGACTAGCACTTCCACCAGAGACCAGGCTCCTTTCCTGCAGGTTGGACACTGAAATAACTCTGAGTAGTATCTGAACATGGCTGGTGATTTCCAAGGAGGATGCAGATGAAGAAGAGCTGATAATATATGAAAGTATCGACCAGAAAATGTATCTATGTTATCCTATTGTTTAAAAATAAACAAAATAAAGTACTGTAGCTAACAGTTTCATCACTTAATTTAGTTTCAAACTAAAGCAGTAATTCTAGCCTACTGTGAGGAGACAATTATATTAGTTTGAAATAACAAGGAGGAGTTATCATGCAGATCTACATAGCACAAAATGTTAAGTATTAGGAGTAGCATATATTAAATCTTCATAAGGATGATAGTAAGGTTAAGAATCTCAAGCAGCATTCTAAAGGAAGCCAAGGTAGAAACTCTTCAAGGACCAGTCTTATGTGTATTCAACGTTACTACAGCATGGTTTATCCCTGCTATGGTATAAAATCAGCACCCAGTTGGACACTATAGAAAGCCACTTCTCCATAGATACTAGCAACCGTTTCTACAAACTACATTCACTTAACCCGTATATCACAAATAAAATGACTATTACTAGAAGCATTTTTGCAATCTGATATCACACAATTTGACATTTATGTCACTTTACAGACATAGAAAACAAAACAAAACCAGATAACAATTTTCCTTTTTATTGAACAATATTTTTAATGTAACATATTCTGACCATCCCTTTTTAATAGTCTAAGTCATTCAGAACAAATGGGTACTGCACGTCCTAGCAAAATGAGATTTAAAGAAAAATCACAATGTTCACGTTTTAGCATTCTTGATGAAAAAGATTCTAAGTGCACACACAGGGCATCTTACCTGCAGGACATTCTCTAGAAGGGCATGGAGAAGGCACACAGGAGGAACATAATGGGCTTGCAAAGAGCAAAGCTCTTCAATGGCCTCTTTAAAGAACTGTCCTTCGATGAGGCTTTCAATTAGGTTTAATATCCCTCTGGGGAGCTCTGCATTCTTAACCTAAGGAAAAATAACTTTAAGTCTGAAAAAATGAAAGTTTAACTCTGAGATCAGATCTTGAATGAACAAAGAGCTTCTGTTTCCTCATCTATATGTAGGTGATTCTTGTCCTTATTACTTAACAGACTGTATGACTTTTGAACTTTACTGGTCCCAAGCAAGTCATATGCATTACTGTGTTTCATAACTAGAAGGCTCTCGAAAAACCAAACAACAACAAAAAACTAGAAGGCATGCCAAAGTGTTATTAGCTGTTTCTTAGTTTTCATTTCCTGAAGTGGTAAGATAAACTGTTCTCCTGGAAGAAAGTCTTAAGCAGGAAATATTTGCTGTATAAACTAAAGAATGTCAGCTATTAACTGGAACCATTCTAAAGACCACATGGAAGAAAACAATTCATTTAAAACAATGAATGGCGAAAAATAAAATATTTTGGAAGTTTTGGGTCAAGAATTTAAGACAAAAGTAGTAATTATAAAATGGATGAGATATGAAAAAAGTATATACTTCATAGCACTATTTAAAGATGTGTTGAAAAGTTTTTTGCATCAGAATAATACTTCCCCACTCCATTTCTGATTATAAGTAATGCATTACCTTAAATCAAAATATCTAAAACTTATACTACTTTTTTGACCCAAATTACCATCCAGCTCCAAGCACCTTACCTCTACATTGTATACAGGCTGTTTATCTATTCTAATGCAGTTGTATCGTACAGCCTACAAAACAACAACCATATAATTAAATTTAATAGTTTAAATTGAAAAATATATTTCAGCTTACAAAGCACAAAACCTTGGCCAAACATTCAAAACAGATTCAGGAACACAATAATAGCTATAATTAATCTGATTCTCATTCTGGCTCAAATTAGTAACTATCATCATTTTAGGATAATAGATTCTCACAAACAGACCAGTTCTACTGTCTCCTCCTCAATTAAAATAACTTCAGGTCATTTTCACTTTAGAGATCTGAAGTTGTCTATTACCCTTAGTACTTTAAGAATTAAAGATATAAATGCAGAGAACATTTTATACACAAGTCCAATGAGGGGGAAAAAGTGACTAAAGTATCACAACAATTACACATTAAAAGCTTCTTGTATTATTTTAAAAGACCTGTACTTGTAAATTTTTAGAAAATAATATAATGAAAAATATCTGCAATGAAATATAAAACATAAAAAACATCCCAATTTAAGAAAGTTCTATAAAGATACTCATAAAGCAAGTCAATGGAAAACAGAACCAAAAATTAGCAAAGCAATACAATAATTGCTAGTGAAGCTATAAAATATATTGAATCTTCTTACTAAAAAGAGTTATAAATTCAAATGACAATTGTCTGGCTTTTACTCTAGAAATAAAGGTAGAAGAGGGCTCCTACTGAAGCAAGAAAAATTAAATCACCTGCTCTTACAGCCCTTTCTTAAGCTTAGAGATGTAAAGCTGTAGTACAGACTCCAAGCACGCACCAACACACAGCACTGTTTAAAGACCACGAGTGTCTGAATTAAAACAACATATAATTCACATACACACTTCCCAATAACTCCTATCTTACTACAGAAAGAGTTTTAGTGTGATAAACATTACCTGAGCTCTATATATGTCTCTGTATATCTGTTTCTTTAAGGCAGTTTTTATTTCTGTGAGACCCACATTTGTCTTGACATCCTTGGTTTTTGATTCGATGGCATAATCAGTAAGAAGAGAATTCTTCATTTCTTTCTGCATACATGTAAAAAGCTTTAGATACTGTACTAAGAAAGTACTCAACACAGATAAAAATACAAGACTATAGAAACCCACTTATATTTTGCAATGTCTTCCTTGCTATTTACATTTGTGATTTCATTTGCTTTGCTCGCACAGTGATGTCAGGACACTGCATGCCAGGCAAATGCTGGACCACTGAACTCTATCTTGTGCGCTTCCAAACTTTCATTTGAACCTCTTCTTACATACATCTACTGAAGTGTACCTAGCCTGTTCTGCTTGACCTATAACATGAGCCGAGGCATAGCTTTTCTACTTTACATCAAAAGTTTTCAACATCATGTGTCACTGAGGAGCATGTGTTCAAGTATTTCAGGCTTTTGATGTTTGGATTTAGAATATTCCATCTATATACACATGCTCCCACTTGGACGTACTATAAAGTTACATTTTAGAAAAAGCTTATATAAGGAAGTTCCATTTGAAAATACAATTTTATTATAAAAGGTCTGTATTCTACCAGAGAAGAGCAAAATTAGAAACAATATTCAAATTTGAAGAGATTTACGAACTAAACACAGATGGAGTTTACAGTGGTGATTTCCACTTAAAGAAAATTCTTCCAAAAGGGTGCTCCCACCAAGAGTCAGCGAGCACCTAAACAAAAGCCTCAATACCAGACATGACAAACTCTCTTCTGAGCTGTTGGCCAGGGTTATGCAGGGTACTCCCAAAACATATAGCCTGCTCCTATTGCCCTTGTTACCTGCACCCTGCAAGAGATGAATGGATGGTAGGTCTCTATTGCTGAAGACACCATACACTTCAGAAATTCCATGCAAGTTTCAAAAGGAGGAAGGCGACCAACAGTCCTACCCAGCTTTGAAGCACATGGGCACATGTCACATGGGCAGCATGACACAATAATCTGAGGATGCAGTGACGGCATGCATACCATGGCAGGCACCAACAGCTTTCTCATTGGACTGAAGACCCACTCAACAAGAGGAAAACTGCATGGTACTGGAAATCTGCCCAGTGCTAATGCAGTCAGGGTTATTGGAGAAGAATCTATACTCCTAATTTACTAAATCAGCATAATCCCAACAGCAATCTCTATTTGTTCTTATATCTGCAGATAGGGGTAGTCTTTACCCCACATCAAGGACACTTCAACAGGGATCACTTGCAGAAACCCACATGCAATCAGTATGCAGAGTTGTAGAGCCCAGTCACAATGGTCACACCTATAGTACATGCACCTAAGGCTCAGGGAACATGGGAGGAGGAGACAGGAAGATTTGAGGAGTTTCTATGAGGCTGTGTCTCCTAGTAACAGCAGAAGCTACACCCATAAAGCAACTTGACTGTCTAAACATGAGTTGAACAAGGAAGTGTCACCAATCCAACATGCCAAAGTGGAGGGGGGAAAGACCATGAGCCTCAATCCCACAGAAAGAACTTTAGGCAACTGAGGAAAGGTGGGAGTGGAAGAGGCGGTCTTCTCAAGCAAAAGCACACCTATGACCTGCCCAGTGCCAACAGGTCAACCCTGAGAGCATATGCGCAGTAACATTATATGGACTCAACAGGTTATAGCTAAGAATACATATGTACTGCAAATACATTATGTGTGTGATTACTATTGAATAATAGTAAAAAAGAGGTCATGATCTTGGAAAAGAAGAGTGGTATATAGGGAGGAAAAGAAAACATGATGAACTTTTATAATTTCAAAAAATTGTAAAGATGTTAAGAGAAATTTATCTTTCTTCCAGATCTTTTTTCTTTTCCTTTTTGTTTGTGAAGAGCAACTTAATTTAAGAATCACAATTAGCTCAAATTTCCTTATTTATATTCATATGAAGAGCTTTCCTATAGACCATAGTTAATTACAATGCATATAATATAATAAATGTATATAATATATAAGTAAAATAATATATATAAAAGTAAAACATATCAAACCAAGAGTTGTTCAAAAGTATATAGAATTTAATACAGTAAGCATCTTTAATAAGCACATCGCCTGCATGGATTATAAAGAAAGAAACCCTAGAAACACATATCCTATAGTCTTACCTGATCTCTGTAATGCACATGCTTTCTAAAAGTACTTCTAATTATGTCATGTTCATCATCAGTTTTGTAATAACCTTCTTTTCTGTTCTTTTTCCTCAAAATGTAACTCCTTTGGACATTTTTAATTTTTTTCTTAGTTTCTTTCTGTATTTTGACCACAATTAAACAAATCAGAATATGCATTAATGTTACAAAATCCAAATAAGCTAAGGGTGGGGGGCTGACAACACAAACACAACACATTGATGGATAGAGCTCTATGCACAGGAAAAGCTCTCCGCCAGGCAAGTGTGTATATGTTAGCAAAAAGCATTTGGGAAAACAGAAGAACATGATGAGCAACAGGTGACAGTGTCCTGATGACAGGAACTTCATCCCTAGGAATACATTCTCAACTAGAGAAATCCCTGAACATATGCACTAAAAGTCACACAAGAGATTATGAATTCTTCATACAAGAACTACCAGATACTCTCAAAACAACTAATCAACTACAAAGAAACAAAAGGAAAACCAAATGCTTATCAACAACAACAAAATGAAGTTTAAAAATGCAACACAATTAAACAACAAAACACACAGGTGAGGAAAATGTCCATAAATAGTGTGACCTACAAATGTTCATCAACAAGCAAAACTAACTACCATTTTAAAACAGAAAAAAACAAAGGAATAATAACTTAAGTTCTAAAATAAGGGATACTTCCAGATAAGATGGAAAAGATAGTTAGAGGAAATGATACAGAGGTAGCTTAAAAACTGGGGAAGACTGATTCTTTCCCTGGATAAGGAGTTCATAAAGTAGCATTCTTCTTCCTTTAAAAATGCTGCTTAAGCATCTGTTAACATTTCTGTACAAGTTCTTCCTAAAAAATTTCATGACTCACATTGTATTTAGTAAATTTAGAGAGGTTTTATAACATAAAAGGATTATTTTTATGAAAAGTTACCTGATTCTCATGTGCATGTCTTCTCATTGTATTTCTCTTTTTAACAGATTTTGTATCTTTTCTGCAGTCTCTGAATTTTTCTTTTTTGTGATGTTTGCTCATTACAAATCTATCATTAACATTTTCATCATGATTTTTCATTTTGTTCTGTATGTTTATAAAATTAATTATACTCTGGGTTAGTATAGGTTCAACACAACTAATGGAAGTCACATAGAAAATTTCAGGAAGGCAGATTTTATACAGTACACAAGAGTAAATTTAAAATGCAAATTTTAATTCATTCTAGTTATACAAAAAGGGCTAAAAAACATATGCTTTAGTTTGCCACATTTTATAAACAGTTTGTTACTAGATATACTTACATAACCTGCTTATTGAATTTAGAGTATAAAGTATTACAATCTCATATCTTTGGGACATGAGAATTTCTATGTCAATTTTATGTAAAATTTCCTGTAATAATTTCCCCATCTTTTGTAAAATTTATCTATTTTTTTACATATTTAATGAAATGAAATCTATTTTGATAACTTCATCATTTTACATTACTGGCTGTATTTAAAACTGATCATACTGAATTTGGAATGATTTAGACACATCAATTCAAAAAGCCTTACTAAACATCACACATGATTACAGAAGGAAGTCTTAAAAGGCACACAGATACCACTGTATTCAGAGGAGGAGCAAAAAGGCAAAAGCATTTTAATGTTTCATTAAACTTGTCATGTGGTTTAAGAAACTGCAGATTTCAAACTGTAAATTGTCCCTAGCATGTACACAAGAGTTTCTAATTACACATAAAAATGTTTCAGTTTAGACAATAGTTACTCAAGACTGATGTGAGAAACTAACAAAACAGACTTACTACCCATAGTATTAAGTGATCATTAGCTTTTCCGCTGTTGTCTATCATTAATGTCTGTGAAACACAGCACAACAGCTGCAGTCGTCCTAGGTTTTGTTGTTCTCACGTTAATACAGATTGATTTGCTTTAAACTCGATTACATGTTCATTTAGATTGCTTATGAAGAGAGTGCTCACAGATGAGGAAAAGTTTTAAGTAATTAGCATGAGCTGAGAACATAGCACATTTGAGGAACTCAACAATTCTCTAGGCACATATGCATTATTCCAAAGAATCCCAACACAGACATACAAAAAGTTCCCAATATGTTCAACTCACGGCCTAAAAATAGAAGATTGATGATATGCTAGTTTTCAGATACCAAGGTTTATAATACTTTTTTGTAACCAAGAATGGGCTCTATTTTACAGTTCTTTAGGAAAAATCAGAGAATGTTTGACTCATGAAACTTTACCTGGACTCTATACATGCTCTCTCCAGCAGCTTTCATTTCAAGAAATCCAGCATCTTTCTTAAACTCTTTCCTTTCTTCTTGATTGCTGTATTTGGTCCAACCAGAACTGGTTTGGGAATCTTCATTGTTCTGAATTTCTTTCTGTATGTGATTTAAAACCATCTAAGCCATTAACTAAATATAATAATGCTAGTGTGCATATTTATTATATTTTATGGACTTCAACTTAATATATAATTACATATACTTTATGATCAAGTCCTCCTAAAACAAAGGAAAGTATTTAAAGATAACCAATATAACAAATTTTTTAATAATAGTGATTTCTGTAGCACATTAACACACACACACACACACACACACACACACACATACAAGCAAATGCTTTGTCTAGTAACTGCTACTTATTGAGGAGTCAAGAACAAAAATATTCTACATAGCCTCTATAAACATTAAGATTAAAACTCAGATATTAAAAATTGTCCATTTATGGTCAGACTGCCTTGTCTAGTAACAACCCTATCTATGAGTAATCTAGGACAAAAACATTTTATACAGGCCTATGCAACTAAAGTTACAATTCAAGGCTGGTAAGAGTGCAGCCAGTAACTTGTTTGCCATGTAAGTATGATGGCCTGTATTCAATCCCTAGAATCCAGACAAATAAAACAGCCATTTTGCTGACACACTTAGAATCCAATACTTGGAACGTAGACATGGGCAGAGCTCTGGAGCTTGCTGACCAGCTGGCATAGTTTACATGGTAAGTTCCAGAAACCCTGTGTCAAGAAACAAGAATCAAAAAGAGAAAAAAAGCAGAAAATGCAAAAAAAAAAAAAATCAAAACAACAACAACAACAAACCCCACACAATAAACAACTAATAAAGGTGAACTATTCTCAAGGGATTCCAGGGCTAACAGCTAGCCTTCCTGCGAGGTGGCCTCTACACTCAAAAGTAGATCTGGGTGCACCTATACACACCTACACACAAGCTCCATTCTAGATGTAAAAATAACCAAGTTTGGACAGGTTGTTTAATCTTTCAGTCTTTTATCAATATGATCTTTCATTTGCAGGGTCATTCAGTACCTATCTTACAGAACAGCAACAAAGAGAAAGGATCACCTGGACCGTCTGCTGTTGCAAACAGTGTCTTGAAAAAACAAACAAACAAACCTGGAACCATTTTCTAAGTCTTTAAAAATATCCATGTAATTATACACATAAAGCAGTAGTGAGAAAACCAGCTAAAAGCAAAGGTGAGCTCATGATGGTTCCGAAGATGTCTTTGTGAAGTGTCCAGATTCACATTTGCTCAGCAACAGTGGAAGACCAACATCTTAGGTAACAATTATGATGGAATCTAAACTGTCTGACACTGGTTCCCTTACTTGTAGGGCCTCCCTCTACAGGCAAGAGTCCCCCCTTTAAAGAGGCTGCAATTTTGTAGCCCCAGAATAGCAGTTGAGAGCAAGTAACCAAATTTCTTAATCAATTCAGAGAAGGTAAGGTGAAAATTTAGAAAAATAAGAATGTCTCTTCCCCTCCCCCCTTTTAAAGAATAATCTTAAATGCATACACAATTTTTTTTTTGTGAAGAATTTGCAGTGAGAAAATAGTTCTGTTTTTTGATGGGGATGTCCTTCTGTATGCTGTGAATACATGTTTCACTTATTGGATTGATGAATAAAGCTGTTTTGGCCAATGGACGGGCAGGATTTAGCCAGGCAGAAAATCCAAACAGAGAGAGAGAGAGGTAGTAGCGAAGAGTCTCCAGGGAGATACCACGTAGCTACCGGGAATGTAAGACATTCTCTGGTAAGCTAAAACCTTATGTAGATACACAGATTAACAGAAATGGGCGTGGAGGAAGCTCAGAGTGAGTGAAATCCTGAGTGAAACGTGTACTGTTGACATGGACACAGCCACGTCAAGAACCTATAGGCTCAGGGATGGAAAGGCTTCCTTTGGGTACCAAATACAAGTGGGGGAGTGTGTCCAGAAAATGTCCCTCATAAACACCCCCTTCCAGATATTTATAGCCTGAAGACTGTTCCCCTACAGAGTAGTCCTACAGAGATTAGCTAAACCTGTCACTTTGATCAAGCTATGAACTATAAACTTGCCTCCTTGCTTATCTGTATGTAAAACCCCACCTCACTGTTGAACCATATATAATAAACATGCTAAGCTTCAGGGGTACTGCTACTCCTTTACCTGAAAGTACAGACCACCCAACCCCCAGTTTTTCTGTGTTTATCTGTCCACTATTTCTTCTTTCCGTTGATGTCCCCGTGAGGTTCAAATTCCAAGAGCATAGCTTCCTGAGAGACATCTGCAGATGATCTCTTGCCCACATATGAACACACAAAAACAACACACACACATACACTCACAAGCTCGAGCCAGACAGCATCTCAGTACTGGAGTGGGAGTTGATGTAACTTAGAAAGTCTTTTTGTTTTCTGAGTTTTGTTAAGTTTCCTGCAATTAACTCCCTTAAGAAAATTTCAGTGTGTATATTTCATGTGTGAGCATGCATGCCTGTGCATATGACGTATGTGAGCATGCAGGCTTGTGTATATGACACCTGTGAGCATGCATGCCTGTGTAAGCACAGGTGCCATGTGTAGAGTTTAGAGGACCTTCCACCTTTTTTAAACACCTTATTGTTTGCTCCTGTGTATGCTAGGCTAGCTGGCCCATGAGCTTCCAGAGATAGTCTTGTCTTAATCACCCATCTCACCGCAGGAGTCTGGGCTCACAGATATTTGCTGCCATGTTAGACTTTATACAGGCTTTTAGAGATATGAACTCAGGGCCTCACAATTTGCCCATGGAGTCATTTCCTCAGATCTCTTAGTTTCCTTAAATTGACAGTCCAAACATTCCAAAGTAACTTCTCCAGTCTGCAAAATCTTATGAAGATCAACAATGAACACATATAGTAATTTTGCCTCTCTGTGTTTCTTTACTTTGCATATTTTTTACTAACCTGTATTTTACTAGAAATTGAAATTAGTAATTTCCATGTTCTATCCCAATCTAAATAGTAAAGTACCTCAACGATGGATATTTGATTTAAGTCATTTCATATCTCTCATGCATTTCATTGCACAGCAATACTTCTACAAAGACCTACTCAGCTAGACTAGATGTTAACCTAATTCTGCCACTCAGCTTTCTAAAAAGTGTTAAGAACATCAAATATGAGAGTTTGTGAATGTCACTTTTAACTCAGTCGATTTACACAGCAGCTCTTCCTACATGATCTTTTAAAGGAAGTGCATGAGGTACATAACATGTTCTATGCCATAGAGTTGAAAGAAAAAAACTAAGATGAAGTGAACTGTCTCATTTTTCCTAGAAATCATTACAATGTGGTTTCCTCACTTAGATCAGTTATATACTTCTGTCTGATCTAGACTTACAATGCATTTTAAAACTCAGTATATAAACTAGATGCTATCTGCTGCTTTCTGTTGACATAACATTTGCTGTTCTTTCTTAGTTTAGCAGCTAATCTTAATATTGTCATATTTTATTGTATATTAAGACTGTATGATTATTATATAATATACTTCAATAATTCATCTCAACAGAAAATATATAATTCAGATATATTTATAAATACAATTAAGAATGACTTTCAATTGCTGGTGGCAAATTCTAGAAAACCAACTGAAACAACTCAAAGCAACAAGTATTAACTCTCTGAATGGCAATGAGGGGCAATGAAAAACACGTTTTGAGATTGATAAATCTGTTTGTGACACAGCTTTGCTACGTAGCACAGATTAGCCTGGAATTCATGATTCTTTTGCTTCAGTCTTTAAGAGCTCTAGAATTTCAGGTGCCTACCTCTAGGGCTACGTTAAGTGCCTAGATTCTATCTCTGCTCTGCTGTCTATACAGCTGTCTACTTATCAAGGCTAATACTGTCCACCATCAAATAATGACTACAGTAAAAAATCACTTCATAATCCTATCTAGAGTCAAGCCTGTTGGTGGCTTTTATTATTTTTGTTTTTGTTAAGATTCCTAGATCAATCACTGTCAAGGTGAGTATAGGCAGAAGTATTATGTATATTCTAAAAGGATTCAAAAAAGCTTTCATAATTTCTGCTAATCTATCAAATATGAAATGAGAATTCATGTTCCAGGCTCTGTGTGAGGTGATTGGGACTTAATTATGGAAGATATAAAGTCAAAAGTAGAATATCATTCAGTAATTAGAAATTTGTTCTAGGTACACAAAGAAAGGATTTGATGATAGCATGATGTTAGAAAAAAAGAGAAGCAGTTTGAATCAAGAGATACATGAAGTAGAATTGATATGACTGGGTACAAGAAATCAGGGAAGGAAGGTCTTGAAAAGTGATTCTAGACCTCTGCCTTCATATAGAAGTCAACAGGCACCATTTCACGGTATCCACTGATATGAGATATAATGGAAAGAGTATGACTGTTCACTGATGAAGGTTACTTATGAACGTCCTGAGCTTTCTCTAACCTTATGAATGATTCACAAATTCTTCACTTATCTATTAGGAAATTTCTCTGGAGTTTCATCCCTGTTCAAAAACTTGAGATTTTATATTTATATGACAGGAAGAAGGAAGTCTAAATCTTAGAAATAATTCTCTTTTCAAATTTGTATGTCATACATTCTCTACTTTATTATACTATGATGGTAAAAGAATGAAATTAGTTTTCGCATATATGTCTAAAGCATTTATGGTAGAGACTGAAAACAAGACAAATTTAAGCTTAAACTTCTCTCAAATCTATACACATTCTTGACTATGTAAGAAATTGAGAATGCCTTAAAATATCCCATTTTCATGTTTCTAATCATTGCATTTCCAGACTCAGAACTCAATTTTAACTGAATAGTCAGTCCTCCATTTCTACACATTCTAAACCCACGGACTTAACAAACCCAGTGGCTAACCCTGACTGGTACTGAACATGTACAGGCTTGTAGTAACCTAGAGACAACTGAAGCACACAGGAAGTGCTTACACATGACACAGAGGTCCTATGTTATTTTAGGTAAGACGTTTGGGAGATGAGCATCTGTAAATTCTGGTATCCAAGGTAGAGCCTAGAACCTATTTTCTGAGACTGACATAGGGATGACTTTATTTCACTCTGTTGACACTTTATAAAAACAAATGTTTTCAAAAGTCTAATACTTTACTTACCTCTAAAAGAAAATCCCCTAAATACTGAATTGGATAAAACGGAGCCTTAAAGTTCTCTTGTTCTCGCTCAGCACTGATTCTTGCATTACTGGCAATCACATGAGTTATCCCACTTGGAGAACTTTTTGGTAAAATGATATTTGCCTTTCCAGCCTCCAAAACTCTAAATAAAAATTTAGATGATGGGGGAAAAAAAAAGCATTAGAAAGATTGAGTTCATTAAGTCAACTACCAATTACTACCTTAGGGATAGGAATAAACTTTCCTGAAAAGAGGCTATTACCTTGGGTCACTGAGAGACCATGGAAAGTTAACAACTGAAATAATTCCTTAAAACCTAAAATGTCTGGAACAAATGTTTAAGAGTCCTATTATTCTGTTTCTTTATATGGGAACACTTTTATGAGCCATGAATATTGAAGCAATTGACAGTACAAGTCACATCAATAAGCAAAACCAATGAAAAATATTCAGGGTAACAGCTACCCTGGATTGCAAAACACACCTCCAAAGAAATCACTGTGAACAACAATGAATGAATGAATGAATGAATGAATGAATAGACAAAACTAGATGCTGAGACTCAACAGAAAAGTTGATCTTTTAACATTTCTAGTCTTTGGCTAGGCTTGATGGTACAAACCTTTGGAGAACCAAGGCAGAAAGATCTTAAATTTGCACTCACCTGGAGTGAAATGAATACATTCTAAGCCAATATGGTATATAAGTGAGATTCTGTCTCACAAAATAAAACCACACAAAATCCAAACAAAAATCGAGACAGATAAAATAGAAAGAAAAAAAGTAGCTTAAATTCTATTAAGAAACAGTTTTACTTTAAGGATTAAGAACATATTACACAGAGACAAATTCATTCAAATATGAATTACTTTTGGCTTCTATATAGGGTCTAGAAAGCAAGAAAGGCAAATAATCTATAGAATCACAACTTTTCTTGAACCTATAACAGAAACTATTTCACTTTTGCAGAACAAAAGGAGGAAGGAAAAGAAGAGAAGGAAACATGATAAGGAGGTACATTTTAAAGAAATCTAACGACATAGTGTAGCCAGTATGACATGAAGTGTGGCACAAGAAACAGTTTTCATTTACATAGTTTTAGTCACAGATAAGGGGTAATGTGGTGATCTATTGCTTATGATCTAATAAAACCACTGGCGACCAGAATGCAAAGGCTGCCACACTAGTTAGCTAGAGAAGCTGGGCAGTAGTGACACACATCTTTAATCTCTTTAATCTTTAATCCCAGGACTCAGGAGACAGAGGCAGATGGACCCCAGTGAGTTCAAGGCCACCCAGGACTACGTAGGAGTGAATCAGTCTAAAAGAGTAACAGAGCTCACGCCTTTAATCCCAGCACTAGAGAGGTATATAAGGAAGAAGCAACAGGTGACAGAATCTCCATTTCACCTTGGTAGAGGTAAGAGCTACTAGCTGGCTGCTTTGCTTCTCTGATCTTCAGCTTGAACGCCAAAATCTGTCTCTGAGTTTTTATTTTTCATCCTACAGGGTAAGTTAGGATAGAAGAGAAACTTCCTAGGTAGATGTTGTCGAGCAGTGATTACTGACTACTACTGAAATACAGGCACAAAAAATATCACATTTTTTTCTTATGAAAGCATCTAGATTGTTTCTGCCCTTAGGCAAAGGGGAAAAATAGGCTGTGTTTCTATGAAGAGTCAAGGAAAATCTACTTGCCTCTACAGAATTGATAGGAACACCACTGCTGTGCACTCTGGTAAAAGAGCCATTGTTTTTAAAACCAAAGCAAAGCTAGGGAGGAACCAAAGTCACTTAGTTCATTATCTCACATCATTGTGAGATACAGAGATGCAATATTTCGGGGAACCAGAAAAGTTTCTCCTGCTGCTGACATAAGATGGAATTTGACTGTCATGTGAGCAATGGAAGGAGGATGACACTCAATACATAAATGCTTTGAGAAGGTTCCAATAACAGGAGTTAGCTATTTAGATAATGCTTAATATTCACAATGAGGAATCTATTCATCCAGAATCCTGACTTACAAAGTAGTAATCACATAGATGAAAAGTATGATGGGAATATTTCTACAATGCGGTTTGTCCAAGTGACTGCCCAGGGGCAAAGGTTAAAAAGAAAACAGGATCCAGCTTTCTGGTGCATCCAAGAAACACACCTCACCATCAAGGATAGACATCATCTCAGCATAAAAGGATGGAAAGAGGCATTCCAAGGAAATTGATTCAATAATCAAGCAGGTGGGGTCATTTTACTATCTAACAAAATAGAATTCAAACCAAAGAAGAGATGTAGAAGGGCACTACATATTCATTAAAGGAAATCTACCAAGATGGTATTACAATTCTAAACATCTATGTATCAATCCCAAGTTCATGAAAGAAACACTAAAACAGCTAAAACCGCACACTGACATCCAAATTGTGACAGTAGATTACTTCCATAATTATTCTCCCCAATAGACAGTTCATTCAGACAAAAAATTAAACAGAGACATGCTGAAGCTACATGACACTGTAAGTCAAATGGGTCTAGTAGATACTTACACAACATTTCAATGAAACACAAAAGAACACATCTTCTTTTCAGGAGATCATGGAACCTTCTCCAAAACTGATCGCATACCTTGACAGAAAGCAAGCCTCAACACATACAAGAAAATAGAAATAACACTTGCATCCTATCTGACCACCAGGGTAAAGCTGCTATCAACATCAGAAAGTATATAAACTCATGGAAACTGAACTCACTATTGAATGAAAAGTGAGCCAAGACAGAAATCAAGATGGAAATTTAAAACTTCCTAGAACTCAAGTAAAATGAAAATATGTTAAAATATGGAACACAGTGAAGGTAGTTCTAAATGCCAATTTCATAGCACTAGGTGCCTACATTAAAAAAATGGAGAGATCTCACACTAGCAACGGACAGGAAGTAAGATACCTGGGTAGAAACAGGATATAAGGAGGGAGTAGCAGGAATTTGTGCTCGTCTGCTGAGAAGCTGAGGATTTAAGGTGTGGCAATGACTTGCTCCTTTTCTCTGATCTCTCAGCATTTTCCCAAATGTCTGACTCTGGGTTTTTATTGCTTAGACCATTTAAGAACACCATTTACACAGCACATTGAAAGTTATGGGATATTGGGAAGCCCTGCTGGTCAGACACTGCAGTCTACCATGGCTTGGCAGCATTCTTGGAGTTCCCCATAGCAAAGGCTTTCTGCTCATTACCTAACCTTATCTGAAGAATGGTTCTATGCCAGGACACCTGAGTTTTCACAAAGATGACTCCTGACAAGCTCCCTGCAAATGTTCTTCCCCTCTGCCCATATGATAATTAGGTGGCATGCTCTAGCAATTTTCATAGGGTCATGATGCTACTAATCCAGTGATTTGATAGGAGTATACCACTTAATAAACATTAGGTGATTCCCCAGCTACTGTCCCCAATCCTATATATTCCCTGTACTCTGGAATAAAGATGAGCTGCCTCACTGAAGCTGCCTCCTGTAGGCTATTTCTGCCATGTTCACAGGCCGTGCTAAGCTGTCTGCTGCTGCTTCTGTTCCTTTGTCCTAGTGGACTGGTGGCCAAATGACCTGAGTAGGGAACACCCACAATGGAAGGTGAAACAGTAGCTTAAGACAAGTTTACGACAAAGCTTCACAGCTGGATGATGAACTCTCAACAAATGTCAACTGTCCATGGAGGGCACAGTACGTATGAGCGGGGAGACATGGTTTGTAGAGGGAAGTAAGTTACTTGGGGCCAAGCCTTTGAGTGTTAGAGACTAACCTCATTTCCGGGCAGGTGTGAGCAAGTCTTGCTGTAAATTCCCATTGCCATCCCCTCCCCACCATGAATGATAGTAGACATTTAGTAAGTGTTTTGCCACAGGGACCAGAAAAAACAAACAACACAATACAATAATATGGTAAGAAAAAACTTAACTGCTTAGTGTTACACCTCAAGGAAGAAGAATAAGAACAAACTAAATCTAAACCTACATAAATAAATGGAACAATACAGATTAATTCAAAATACTAAAACAAGAAGTAGAAGATCAGGATATGTTGGTATACACCTGTAACACTAGTTTTCAGAAAGCCCAGGCAGGAGGGGAGCAGTTCAAGTAGTCTGTGATACTAGACCTTATATTAAAAAAAGCAAAAACAAAGGCTAGAAAACACACAGAAAAAGAAAAAAAAATCTATGGAACTAAAAGCTTTATTTTGATGAATAAAACTGACAAACCATTACCTATATTAAGAAAAAAGCAGTGAAGAGTCAAATGAATAAACACACATGAATACAGACATTACAACTGATTCCATAAAAACAGACTCTAATGAACAATTACACATAAACCAATTGGGAAACCTAAAACAAATGGATTAAACCCCTTTACACACAATTTATCAACACTGAACCAACAACAAAATTCCTGAACAGACCAGTAACAAATAATAAAGTTATCGATATAAAGGTTTCCAGCAAGTAAAGGCCCAGACCTGAAGCATCACTTGTTTCCTACCAAACATTCAGAGAACTGCTGTTAATTTTTCTCCAAATATTCAAAAAAGTTGAAGAGGACATTCCTGCAGTCACGTACTACAAGAGCAGTATTATTCTGTTACCTACACCAGGCAAGTACAGCACAAGGAGAAGTAAATGGTACTTTTGGCAACATTTTGTCTCAAATTGCTTTGCTTGGGTATTTTTTATCTTACTGGTTTCTTTGCTTGTGTGTTCTGGTTTTTGTTTTTGTGTTTTGTGTTGTATGTGTTTCTTTCTCTTTTTGGGTTGTGTCTGCTTGCTTATTTTTAAAAGGGAGGACTTGGGGTTGGGTGGGTAGAGGCAGGGAGGCTATAGGAGGGATTGTGGAAGGGGAAATCATAGTTAGAATAGACTGTATGGAAGGCTTTCTTGTTTTCCAACAAAACAAAATTTAAAAAAGCATAAGGTATATACTACAAAACTAGAAAATTTACATGAATTAATAGCATGAGATAATGGGGGGATGCCTTTAATCCCATCACTTGGGAGACGAGGCAGGCAGATCTCTAGGAGTTAAGAGCCCAGTCTGGTCTACAGAGCCAGTGCCAGGATAGGCTCTAAGGCTACACAGAGAAACCCTGTCTT